AGGAGGAGGAGGAGGAGGAGGAGGAGGAAATCAACTCCCCCCCAAGTTCATTCTTTCTCCTGCAGACCTTCCCTGATGTTAGAATTTTTCCATCTTTTTGGCTCTGTTGTCTCCTATTTCCCTCTCCCACTAACCCTTTCATACTCTCCTTGCGTCCTTTCTACTCTTCTGTCATAGCACAATCACTCACCAGTTTCTAGTCATTGGGAAGCTGGAAAGAAGGATCAGCAAAAATGATCAAACCTCTCCATTTTCCAGATGAGGACACCGCGACCAGTAGCTGACCTGAAAGGCTAAGGTTGCGCCGCTAGGGGACGCCATGCGCAAGCGGGCGGGATCGTGACAACCCATTCCGCCAGGCTAGCGCCCTGCCGGTGCGTTCCAGTCTCACGCTACCACTTTTTCTAGCCTCAAAGCACAGGGAATCAAGAAAGAAAGAAAAAAGAATTATTCACAATGTTGCATTTGGAAAATCAAGCGAAGAACAAATAGGTGACGGCGGGGGCATCTGTGTGTTCGAATGCAAATTTAGTTTGGTTCACACAACTACAAGTGTAATAATACATATGCTTTTTCCCCGGCATTCATCTTATCTGACAAAGAAGTGATTTCCTACAAGAATTTAGCCGTTTTCCTAGGGCAGAGGCTCCCTTCAACCGGAATTCCCTTTCAATCACAGACTCTAGCTTCACAGTTAGGCTGGCTGAGGAAACAGCGTTCATGCAAATGGGTGGAAAACAGATTGTTAGAGCCAGAAGGAATACAGGATTTTGCTTTAATAGCTAGTTGCGTTTTCAATATTTGTGTTCACCAATCTATTCCAATAGGAAACAAGACATTCATAGTGAAACTTTCACAAGTGAGCACGCACTGGAAACCCACATTCACGAAAAAAAATGCCATAGATTTCACCAGAAAGGAAAAGAAAAAGAAGCAGCAGCGAAGAGCAACAACCTCAGGCCCCAGACTGGAGGCAGCAACAAGTCCTGAGTGCCACCAGTCTTAAACATCAAAGGCAAAATGGCAGCAAAGAAAAAACGAGAATAAACTTTAAATCATTCTCAACAAACTAGGTAGTCCCGCACAAGCCAGAGCAGCCCGTGGATTTCAGTCATCAACGCAAAGCCAGGTCCCTCCCTTGACTTGTACTCCTAGTTACTTGCTGAGCATGTTGGGCAGCTGCACAGAAACTTAAAAGCCCTCAGCCCTCGGACCACAGAGTCGCCAGGGAGAAGCCAGCGGTGCAGGAGCTCTGCGCTGCCCCGGGGCCCCGGCCGTCCACGTCCCCCGGGACGTGGAACTCGAGCGCCCTTCGCCAGCCCTCCCGC